CTCTCTCTCTCTCTCTCTCTCTCTCTCTCTCTCTCTCTCTCTCTCTCCCCTCTCTCTGCCATGCCTGCTGCCATGATGACAAGAAACTAAACCTGTGACACTGTAAGCAAGACTCAGTTAATGCCTTCCTTTATAAGAGTTGCCTTGGTCATGGTGTCTCTTCACAACTGTAGAACAGTGACTAAGGCAGCTGATTGACACCACTATAGGAAGTCTCAGAATTAAAAATGTTCAAAGTGTAGCCAGACGGTGGTGGCACACACCTTTAATTTCAGCACTCAAGGAGGCAGAGGTAGGCAGATCTCTGAGTTTGACTCTAACATGATCCACAGAGTGAGTTCCCGGACTGCCAGAACTACACAGAGAAACTCTGTCTCAGAGAGAGAAGTGGGGGTGTTTCAAAGAACATATACTTTTACTGTTTTGGTGTGCTTTTTAGCTTTTTTAAAAGACACTGTGTAACCCTGGCTGAGCTACAGTTACTGTTGTAGACCAAGCTGCCCTTAAATCTGTGGTGATCTTACCACCTCTGCCTCCTGAGTGCTAAGATTAAAGCATCCTATCATGCCTGGCTTCTTTTTTTTAAAGATTTATTTATTTTATATGTGTGAGTACATTGTTGCTCTCTTCAGACACACCAGAAGAGGGCATCAGATCCCATTACAGATGATTGTGAGCCACCATGTGGTTTCTGGGAATTGAACTCAGGACCTCTGGAAGAGCAGTCAGTGCTCTTAACTGCTGAGCTATCTCTTCAGTCGCTTATTGTTACTTTTTAACTGTATTTTTGAAAAGCTGATTTGAACACTGTACTGGACTCCTTGGTGATATTTTTCATGTGTACCTCACTGCAAGTAGACTAATAACTGTCCTAATGATGTGAGAGAGATAGTTTATTGTGTAGAAACGATATCAATTTCATGGCTAGCCCTATTTTTAATTTAGCCAGACTTGAATGAATGTAATCTCTCTTTGGGCTTCTCAACATATGCCCACTGTTTATAAAGAGAGAAATTCTAAGAGTTATGAGTGATGTACATCCCTGTAATCCTAGCATTCAAGATATAAAGATAGAGGATTGAGATATTGAAGCTGGCCTGGGCTATATGGTACAATCTTTTCAAAAGAAAGAAAGAGAAGGAGAAAGAAAGAAAAAGGATAATATGAATTTTCCCCTATAGTTTCTGAAACCTACCCACTTAAGAAGGAGAAAATTCTCCCTGTGCTAACTACAGTTCTCCTTGTATCCAGTATCTGATACCACTTAACTTACTAATCATCACAATAAGAAAGTGGTCTTTCTGATTCCCCCACTCTTCTGACATTCATATTTGGAATAAGCAGAAAAATACTAGTCCACACAACCCATCCCTATTGTGTCTACATCCTGTACCCACTGGAATATGGCTTCTTGCTTGTTGCCATTAGAAAGCCACAGAAAAATATTGCTGGGCAGAGATTTTGGAAGATGAGTCTTCCTGGTTCTGTTTCTACCAGCTTGTTCCAATGCACCCAACAGACATCATGCTGGTTCCCAAACTGCCCACCAGAGGGTGCTATCACTCCCTCACAATCTTTTTTTTTTTTTTTAAGGAAAAACTCTGCAGTCGGGTCCTTTATTTCTCTTTTATACACTAGGCCATGAATTCGTATGGAATGGGCTCCAACAGCTTGGCTCTTTCCCGTTAGTCCTCACAGAGTGTGCTTCTCTGGGTGGTGCAGGCTGACGCTTCAGCTGAACCCAGGTTCCCTTCTTTTTTGGCTTCCTTTTTCTTCTGATTGTTCTCCTTCACCCGCTTCAGAAAGCTGTCTCTGCTCTTCGAGTGTTTAGTGTGCTCAATCCGCACATTGATCCTCTTGGCCAGAATCTTGCCCTTAACTTGCTTGTTTACAATGATGCCCACGGCATGCTGGGTAACTTTGTAGACTCTTCCGGTTTTGCCGTGGTAACACTTATGGGGCATTCCTTTTTGAACAGTACCCATTCCCTTGATGTCTACAATATCACCCTTCTTATAGATTCGCATGTATGTGGCCAAAGGAACAACTCCATGTTTCCTAAAAGGCCTAGAGAACATATACCGAGTGCCTCTCCTCTTTCCCTTTGTGTTCGTCATTCTGGCGAGTTAACTGGAAGATGGCTACCGTGGCTGCTCCCTCACAATCCTGCACAAGTCTTCTGCCTAAAATCCGTAGCTTTAATGGTTTATGTTTGCCCTAACCTTCCTCAGAATTTATGAATGGAATACTTTTCTAATGCCAAGAGAGTCAAATGGATTAAAGGAGATATTTAAAATCAACCCAATGCCTACTCCTGGAAATTTTTCTATCAAGTTGAAGCATTGATTTTTGTTTGTTTGTTTTAGCTAACTATATATACTATTTAAACTCTGGCAGGTACCAAGAGAAAAGATATTGGAAAAAGACCTCCTAATCTCAGTTAAGTCAAATTTGGTGACAGTTTCCCGAACTCTGCCCTGGCTGTGAACCACTGTATCCTTCTGAAACAAAACAAGCTCTGAACATGAAAAGAGATGTGAATCCTTAAAAAATATAAAAGATACAAAGAGGGATTGTCATATGATAAATTATATGATTTTTTAAAAATTGATTATAAAAGAGCTAAGAATATGTGATAAAATCCACATCACTGAACAACAAGTGATTCTGCTTTTCAGCCACGTCTGCTCCATCATTGCCATGTCCCTTGCTCACCAAGAAAAGTGATTGGCTGTTGAGAGAGAGTAGTGGGCAGCCTCGATTGCTGCCAAGGTTAACAACTTCTTTGATCCGTGAGATCCACACATGGAAGGAAAGACTTCCACAAGAATGCTGTGGAATATACATGCACACTGTACATGTGCACAAGAGTACACTCTTGCTCATACACATACACACTGTACATGGGCACAAGTGTACACTCTTGCTCATACACACAACACACACAATATGAAAAAAAATTTTTTTAAAGTTTTTTCCTGAAAGACCCTGTGCCCTCAAAACCTAATTGAATGTAAGCAATCTGGACCACAGACATGAAGTATAAACTGTCACCACCATCAGAATAAAAGTTTCAGTGAGACAGACAAAGGGTGTTTCCAAGGATGAGAGCGTGAGGAGGAGGCTGTGCCACACAGCTTAAGCTAGAAAAGAAGCCATGGGAACCTCCTGGTGCACTGTGCGACTAACCAAAGCAAAATAAAGGGCAGAGTGGGAGGCACCAGAAATGACCATCTAAATATCAGCACAAAATAAAACATCACCACCTGAGGTGAAGATATTTAAAAAGATCATATGCCAGAAAACACTCAATGGAAAGACTCAGGGTTAGGAGCAGTTCAAGGCTGAGCTGGTAACTGGACAGACTGGAGATGGATCCTGGTGCCCAGACACCCAGATTAGTAAAGAAATACACCACATTCTCTGTCTCTGTCTCTGTCTTTCTCTGTCTCTGTCTGTCTCTGTCTCTGTCTCTGTCTCTCTCTCTCTCTCTTTGTGTGTGTGTGTGT